AGGATAATTTCATTCATAATAGCTTCAAAATAAATAAATAAACAAAACACCTAGAAGTAGACCTAACCAACAAGATAAAAGATCTCTATGATGACAGTTACAGAACATTGAAGAAAGAAATTAAATGACACTAAAATGTAGAAAAACTCATATGCTCATGGATAGGTAGATTCAATATGAAGATGACCATGTTATGAAAAGCAGTCTACAGATTCAATATGTTCCCCAACAAAATGCCAATGACATTCCTTACAGAACTAGAAAAAAATTCTAAAATTCATATGGAAAAACAAAAGACCCAGAATAGCCAAAGCAACAGTTCTGAGCAAAAAGAACAATGCTGGAGGTATCACAGTACCTGATTTCAAAATATACTACAGAGCCATAGTAACAAAAGCAGCATGGTACTGATATAAAAAAAGATATGTAGACGACTAGAATAAAATAGAGGACACAGAAGTAAGCCCACACTGTTACAGTCCTCTGATCTTGACAAGGGTGCCAAAAACATACTTTGTAGGAAAGACATACTAGTTAATGAACAATTGTGGAGAAACTGGATATCCATATGTAGAAGATTGGAACTAGTTCCTGTTTCTCACCCTACACAAAAATCAATTCAATATGTAATGTAGAGGAAATATTTCAAGATACAGGCACAAGGAACACCTTCCCTAGGATTCCTATACATTGGGAAGTAATAGTAAGAATTGACAACAGTAAATTGAAAAGCCTTTGCACAACACAGTGAACAATTAAGAATGTGAAGAGAAAGCCTATGGAATGGGAGAAAATCTTTGCCATCTACTTTCCAACAGAGGATTAATATCCAGAATATACATAAAGAACTTGAAAACACCAAAAAACAAATAATGCAATTAATAAGCAGGCATCTAAACTGAACAGATACTTCTCCAAAGAAGAAATACGTTTGGAAAATAGTTATATGAAAAAGTATTCATTATATTTAGCCATCAGGGAAATACAAATCAGAACTATATTGAGATTCTATCTCACTGCTATCAGAATCGCAATCATCAAAAATACAAATAACAATAAATTCTAGCAAGGATGGTTGGGGAACCCTTACATGTGTTAGTCCAGCCACTGTGAAAATCAGTGCAGAGATCCCTCAAAACCAGGAGTAGAACTGCCACATGACCCAGATATAGCATGCTATAGAGATACCTGCATACTCATGTTCATTGCATCACAATTCATAATAGCCAAGTTACAGGCAGCCTAGGTGCTCTTCAGCAGATAAATGGAACAAGAAAATATGGTCTGTATACACAATGGAGTATCATTCAGCCATAATGAAGAATGAAATCATATCGTTTGCAGGAAAATGGGTGAAACTCGAGATCATCCTGTTGAGCAAAATAAATCACTCAGAAAGACAAGTATCACATGTTCTCTCATGTAAAATCTAGGGGGAAAAGACATGAAAGTAGAGGGAGACTTAAACATAAGAAGAAAGGAATCAGGGGACAGGTGGGTAAGGGTGGGTAAGGCAGGGGGAGCTGTAAATGAACAAAATGTGTTAAATTCACAGTGAATGTGGCAGCGTGAAATCCCTTGTTCTGTATAATTAAAATGCACTAATGAAAAAGAATAAGGAAAATGTCCCTTTAAATATTAGGGGATTCTTACTCAATCCACTATTCAGCTTTATCATCATGAATGCTGAAATGCTTCTCCTAGTAGCAGAAAGTCAGATGAAACTGTCACTCCTTAGGGTTCTTCCTCAGTTTGAAAATAATGAGAAACTGCTTCTCCATAGAAATGTTAAACAGTTTTTGCAAAAACACAAAAAATAAACAGGCAAAGTTCTTTCTGGGTTGAAGCAGCTTATTAAATATTTTAAATTTGGGAATTTCAACTTCTGAGTAAAAAGATCTCTGACTTAAAAATATAGAGATTATTTGAGAAACATGTATCTGAATGAAGAAATTTATCTGTCAGTGAAGGTTTATATTTTGGTGTTTGGTTTTGGAGGTGCAGTAGCACAGTTGGCAACATTCTGACCTCTGCTTTGATTGTTGTAGGTTTTGGCCATTTGTTTGATTTGTTGGATTTTTCCATATGTTGGAATTCACAGTAATCTTGTCATTTTTTATTTATATAAATTATGTCGAATAAATTTTTCTCTTTCCTTCTTTTCCCTTTCCTCTCATAATTTTACCAAGTGACTATTCAGAAATTTTCTGAAGGCCTAGACCAAAGGGAAATAATTTTTTAAAGTAGTCATCTATGAATAGTTTATGTTAAAGTTGGACAAAATAGATAGAACATCAAGATTTTAATATTTTCCCCATATGTTTCATTGACAACACAAGGAACAGAAAAGATATATACTCATTTGCTTTAGAACTTACAATAAACCCTTATTAATAACTCATGGATTAATTCAGTCTAAAATTTTGAGCATAAATGCAGCATAGAACCTTTGTTAAGAGCCATTGACGAAATTTATGAATTATCTAGTTCATTTCATCCCAAGAAAAAGACGAGCAGATGAAGCTGAAATAGACCTACTTTAGCCCATCCTTCTCATCCTCTAAAGCAAAGGTAGCCACAGTTGGGCCTGTGTTGGACACATGCCTCTGAGGATAACCCCAGGTTTTTTTTTTTTCCTCTGAGGCTGTGGAGTTTGGAGCTGAAATTGCCCAGTTCTTTACAAACACTACTGAGGTGAGATCCACTAAGCTGAGAAGTAGCTTGGGCTAAGACTCTCTACATTCAGGGGTGATGACAGTTGACAAGGATGGGCATTATAACCAGCACGTCAGAAATTAGAGGGAAGCGCATAGCTTCAAATGTCTACATTAGACAAGAAGAAAGATCTAAATTTTTATTTTAATAAGCTAGGAAATTAGCAAATTAAACCCTAATTAAATAGAAGGAAATAAATAATAAAGAAAGATAATAACAGAAATCAGGGAAGTAAAAAACATATAAACAAAATGATAATAAAACCCAAAATAAGGTCTTTGAAAAGATCAGACTAAAATTGGAAACATGAAAATGGATAAGCAAGTCATACAGTATTTGTGCAGAAATACACTACTCAGCAACAAAAAGGAATGAAGTATTAAGACATACAACAACACAGAAGAATCTCAGAAACATGCTGAATAAAAGAAACTGAATTGATCAAATTATATTGTTACATTGTGTGCATATATAAATACAGTCACAGTGAATATCACACTTTTGGTGTAATTAAAATGAAGAAAAAAAGAATTTAAAAAGATAAAAAGAAGCTGGACACTAAAGAGTACATATTTTAAGATTTTGTTTATATAAAAACTTACAAAATCCCAAACTAACATATTATTATAAAAATCAGATCAATGTATGCCTGGGTAGAGGTGTTTGACTACGAAGAGGCACAAAGGAGTGTTCTGGAGTGATGTGATCATTCAGGAATGGTGCACTGAAAAAATACCCCAACTCAGGGAGTCATGTAATTAAAGTGTGTGCGTTTCACTGAGTGTAAATTCTAAAAAAAAGCTTACTATTATCTTTTTTTTAACACAGTACTTTTATTTTATTTATTTATTTTTATGTGGTGCTGAGGATTGAACCCAGGGCCTTGCACATGCTAGGTGAGCGCTCTACCACTAAGCCACAACCACAGTCCTTATTATTATATTTTTTACCAAAAAGCAAACAACAAAAAAACAAAACAAAACACTGCACTGTTACTCCAGACTCCCCCCTGTGACTTGGCAGATAGGAGGCACTACCCTTACCCTTCTCAGGTTACCCTCTCTAGTGATCTTTGATAACAGTTGCCCTGGACAGAAGCAGTTTTTACACTCACAAAATCACAACACATTGTTTTAAGCAAATTGAAGGAAATTACCTAAGATGAAGTTTACCACATAGGTAGGATATATATCCAGGATTCCAGCAGCACACTTGAGATGTTTATCTTAAAAAAAAATAGTGGCAGCACCTCAGTTGTTAGTGAGCCCTTCTCACAAAACTTGTTTTTGTATTGCCCTTGATTTAAGAATGGTTTTTATAGGTAACTGCTACCCTACTTGTCCCCCCCAAAACCTAAAGTGTTTACTATCTGCACTTTTACAGAAAATGCCAACTTGTTCTTTGTCCTTTAATCAGCATATTCACTTACTGATTAGCCTCCTAAAATCTAGTATAAGGGGTCTTCATTTATTGTTACAATCCCAGCTGTTTGAAGCACTATTAGTGTTTATTAAGTCTACAACCTTATTTCCTTTCCTCTGAAGACAAAGAGGCAAATGTTAGGTTGAATGGTATGATAGTTACTTTCCAAGGAGTTCTGGACTTCCTGTGAGGGACCTAATTGGGTGTCTTCTGTCTGGCCTGGCTAGAGTGTTTCTAAAGATGTGGGACAGGCAGAGCACCTACAATGGTGAGTGTGATGTGGCATGAGGCACTCTACAACACTGACTGTTCTGCCTTGCCTGAGCAAGAGAGATGAGCGGAGCATTTCTGCTCTTCTGCGTTGTGGAAAATGGGAGAGTAGTTCAGAAGGTCTTCAAAAACTTCTAGAGGTTCTACAGGGTAATTTTTTTTTTTTGGAGGGGGCGGGTGTCTCTCAGAATAGTAGACCTGCACTACACTTCCAGAACCTTCAGGATTCCCTCTTGTAGTGCCTTAGCATTCTAATCAATATCAGAGTCTTACCTTCCCCCACCCTTTGCCCGAGCCTCGCATGATCTGACCTACCTCACTAAAACAATAATGGGTTTTTTAAAATGAATTCAAATCCTCTGAGCATCTCTTTATTTTCACATTCCAAAGATGAGTCTGGGATAACGGGACATTTTGGAAAAACACAGCCTTCTTGGGACAGCCCACTGAGCTAATGGCACACATATTCAAATTGAAAAATCAGTGAAATTGTGGTGGAAAGCCCAGAATAAGCTTATTCTGATCCCTGATGTGAGCTAACACTTCAGTTACAATCTGTGACTATTTACAGTATTTCTTCATCTCTTCTCCAGGCCTACTCTGTGTATGATGAAGACATTGGATACTGTCAAGGACAGTCTTTCCTTGCTGCTGTATTGCTGCTGCATGTAAGTAATCTTCTAAGAGACAAATCATGATGCTACCAGCTTTATTTCTACTTGGTTTTGTTCTTCCTTCTGCCTTTCTATTCTCTTGATGAAGATTACACATGGCATAGCTTTTATAAAATGTGCCTTGGGTGATGAAGTGAGAGATCTGATGTCACAAACAGGACAGTTTTTCAATAGCATTCATATTGCTGGTTAGAAGCAAATAAATTGCTCATTTGGAGTTATTTTTTACTAGAATAATCTGTAATAAAGAAGTCATTGTAACTGTCCAAATATCAGGACTTAGACCACTTTAACAAGGAAGTCTTATCTTTTCCATTATTTATTTTCATATACTCAGTCACCTTCATTTAACAGAACATTTATGGAGCTTCAGTTGCCAGGTACTGGGCTAAGAAGTGGGATTGCAGAGATGAATCATTTACAATTTGTGTTCTCAAAAACCTTACAGTCTAAGATGGGGCACAGATAATGTTGGTACAGACTTATTATATTTATTCTCTTTTCTTTGTCTTTATTGATTTTTCTAATGACAAAAATAACACATGCTCACTAGAAACTGTATAGTGTTCTAAACACAGGGTGAAAGAATGGAGAGGAGAATATTCAACCCAGTTCTGCCAGAACTTTCAGGAATAACTTTCTGGATGAGGCAGCTGCTTTTCCAAGATATGAATAATTAAGGTTGGGGAAGGGCAGAGGGGAAGCAGAGAGAATAGAGAATTACAGACAAAGGAAACAAGAGTAAATGTATGGAAACAAATGGGCCCTGTGCACAAAGGAAACACCATGAAACTGGAGTTTACTGCAGGGAGTGGTGCGAAGTGAAAGTGTAAGATGGGCAGGGGCCAAATGATGGAGACAGTGCATGTAACCATGTCAAAAATGTCAAAAAAAATGTGGGCTTTTTTCCAAAGCCAATGAGAAGCCATTGATCTGTTTGAAGCAAGGGATTAACACAGTCTGACATTCATTTCTGAAAAATTCTTGTTATACTTGCATAGAGTATGGGATTGAAAAACATCCAGTAGCAGAGATACCAGTTAGAAAATATCAATCTGAATGAGAGATGTTGAGACCCAGAAAAAGAGAAGCACAATTAAAACACAATTTGGTGGGTTTTTTAAAAAAAATTTATTTGTTTAGAAGATATGTACTCACATATACTCATGTTTTATTTCAAAAGACAAAAACAAGAAAGGAAGGAGGAGGGAGGGAGGGCAAAAAAGGAAGGAAGAAAGGAAGGAAACATTGAGCAGACAAAACTGATAGGGTTTGTGGATAGTCTGGCAAAGGAATTGCCCAGATGATGTCTGGTTTTCTAGTTTTGATGACTGAATGCCTGTGATATTTTGATTTGAGAAAATACATTCATTGAGATGGATGGTTATGAGTTTTGTTTTTAATTCTCTGAGTTTGGGACCCATTGGATACTGGATACTGATGCTGGGGGGAAAAAAATCAAAGCTGAAATCATGGGAGCAGATCAGTCAGTTCACAATAAGTTGACTAAGAAGAGCAGAATAAAGCTTAGGAACACAGAGCATGTAAATGGCTGGAGAAAATAGAACCCCTGCAGTCAAAATTTGCAGTGGGGGAAGTAGTATGTAGATGAGGGGCAGCTGAGTGGCCTGTGAAGTTTGAAGTTGACCCATTTCCTTTGGTGTACTGAAAATAAAGAGCATTTAGAGCCCATTCTGTTTCTAATGATGATGGTACACAATGGTGCTGGTTTGATTATCCACTTTATCTCACTTTGAGGTTGATTCGTCCTCTCTACATTATCTCTGTTCATGACCTTTTCTGTCTTCTCCTTGGTGTCCTCCTTTGGTATCTCTACATTCTATCATCTTGGGACTTCCTGTGATGATCTGGCACTTTCTAGTCAAAAATTCTCAGAGGCCTTTCTTCAGTTAATAAACTCACCTAGGATCTACAATAGTCTGGTCCCTACCTCAGGAGACTGGACACAAGTGGTGTTGTGAGTGTTCATCAAATTCAGAGCCATCTTTCTTCTAAAGGAAACCTTTATACCCACTCGGATGAGAAGCTGATATTCAAGTCATGGCTGGGGTTGCTTTGTTTTTAACAAAATAATCTTCATATGTACCATAGTTTAGCAATTTTGACCTGCATTCCATTTAGCACATTATAACATACTAATTAAAGTACAGTGAGAAGAAAATCTCTTGAGAAATCTGTTCTGAGATTTCTGAAAGGGTTAGATTATTTGAATGTTCCTAATTAGATGGAAACATACCTGTTAAAGAAAGAATGAGTCAAATAACTAGAAAATTCAAATACCCAGATTTTTGTTCTGTATTACTACTCTCTTCTAATGAGGGTCACATGATAAGTCAGGCATTATGAACTTATTCACTTAAAGTATTTCCAAGGTACGTCACAAGAGGAACCAAAATTCAGTCCAATCTCTTGTACTTTCTATGTTAATATTAATAGAATTATGCATAGTCCCATATTTTGCCTCCATTGTGTAAATAGGTAGAAGAATACAGGTTAGCTTGAATAATTCATGAATTACACTATCTCAGGCTCCAGAGAGATATGTTATTAGTGTCTTGCTGACTGATTTTTTTTTTATCAGTTTCATAAGCTGTTGCTTCTTTTCCTGCCAGACATACTTTGGCAGCCCCGTATTAATCACTGTCAGACTGCTGCTTCTTGGGATGCTGCCTTTCCTCACCCATAGTCTTTTTATGTTTAACATTCATTGTCTAAGAGGAAAGGAGGGCCAAAGCAAAAGTATGTCCAAAAACAAAGTGTTGAATGTTTAAGTTTTTCCATGTCTCAATAGTTTTAAGAAATAGTTTCTCTTTTCCTAGCTTGGAAGTTTCCAGATGCTTTGTAACATGTGTCTATTAAGTGGAAAAATTACATGTTTATGCATAGGGATAGAAGAGGAGATGTTGGTATACATTTATGAGATTATGACAAGATTATCACTTAGAATTGGAGAATAATGTTTGCGACCATCCTTTCAACTGCCTTCAAAATGAAGAATGCAGTAATAATCCTTCATATCCTCATTTTAATATTAGTCTTTGCTTAATTGGAGGTTAATACTTACATATTTCATTTATTGTAAAGATCATAGATAATTTTTAACCCAATGTATTTATCTGCCATATTATTGTCAAGTCTTAAACTTTTTTTATTGGACATGGGCTGTTTTGGGACTTTCAGAAAAGCAGGCTCATTTTCAAGTGTATATATAATATATATATGATAGGACTATGTTTGAATAATCTAGAATGTTTAAACCATTGAATTAAAAGAAAAAACTATAATCACAGCTCCTCTAGAAACCACTTGGACTTTATCCACATACCCAGCAATTCCATTCCTAGATGGACTTTAATTCCTTGGTGAAATACCTAGCACACATACAACAAAAGCCATGGCCTGGAATTGCCCAAGACCAGTATTTAACAGAGTTCCAGTATTAGAATTACAGTGAGGCATTAACATGGATACATAGTGGTGTGTTTGTACAGTAGAACTCTGTGTAGCAATGGAATGCTTGTTTACATGCTAATATGAGTGAATCCTATAAACACAAGGTTTAGTTAAAAATGTAAGATTATATTTTATATAAAATGTAAGCTGAATGGTAGGAACTGTGTCTTTACTTCTTTCCCTCTTGACCCCATTCTTAATACAATGGTTTGCCTTAAGGAAGGTATAATAAATATTTTTTTCAGAAAAATAAATAAATAAAATAAAATATAGTAACAGTCAAAATTAAAAGTTTTTAGGATATAACAGAGATGACAAAATGGTAAAGCATGCCATTGAAGCAATTGCTGTTAAAATCAGGATAAAGAAACACAGGGATAATGACTGGAAAGGGGCACACAGGGAGCTTCAGGGGAATTGGCAGCATTCTCTTAGCCTTGGTGATGATTGTCTAAGTCCTTCAAAATTATTTGTTTTTCCTTCATAATCAATTATCCATTAAAGTGTATATTTAACTTTTATGCATTTTTTGTATGTTATATTTAAAATTTTAAAAGATTTAAAAATTATAAAGTCTTTTTTTTAGAAGTATTTAATATAACTCCCCACAAAGACATGTTCGGGCTAAGATTTAACTAATAAATGTAAGAATTGAGAAGCAGAGCTACTTTCTAGTTTTCCTGAAAATCAAGATTCCATGAGGGGCTGGGGTTGTAGCTTAGTGGTAAAGTGTCTGCCTATCACGTGTGAGGCACTACGTTTGAGCCTCAGCACTGCATAAAAATAAATAAATAAATAAAGGTATTGTGTCCATCTACAACTAAAATATATAGGGTCCAATGGCCCAAGATAGAAGTTTCCAGATATCTTTATATATAAGTAGAAGCATTTGTGAGATTTTGTTATTCAGGACTCTTTCTGGTGCAAGGGACAGAACCCTAACTCAAGGTAGGTTAAATTAAAAGGATATTTATTTCCTCATAACTGGAAAATCTAGGACAGAGATGGTTTTGACATGATAGGAATCTGGAGTTCCTATTTTATTGTTAGGCGTCTGGGTTTGCGTCTCTGCTCTTGTTCAATTTCCTTGCAGTGGTCTGCATGGGTAGACCATGAAGTGGACACCATGCTATAGCCTGGCCTGGCTTCATGCCCTCTAAGTTTTGTGACTTCATTTAAAAGGGGCCATCTTTTGCTCTACCAAAACCAAACCAAACAAAAATGACTTCCTTCTCTTTTCCCCTGGAAGGCTCCAGTTGGCCTGGTTTGGAACATGTGCTCTTCCTGATTCAGTTATTCAGTCCAGAGGGATGGGGTTCTCTGATTGGCAATGTCCAGGTCTTTTGTCTACCTCAGTGTTGACAGAGAACTGGATCAGCCCTACTGAGACTTGGAATGGTTTTTATGCAGGACAAGTGATGCAAACACCATCTGATTGGGAGCTGGGTGGGACACAATCACATCATCTTGGGTGGTGTCTCCACTGTAGGAATTTTACTGTATTTTTAAATAAGTAAATA